GGGGCAATGTGTGTATGGGGCAGTATGGGGGGCAATGTGTGTGTATGGGGCAGTATGGGGGGCAGTGTGTGTGTATGGGGCAGTATGGGGGCAGTGTGTGTGGGCCCCCCCCCCAGCCTACCTGTCACTGGAGGCTGTTGCTGGGGGTCAGGCAGCCATTTTCTGAAGCAGCATAGGCTGCTGCTTTACGGCGGGGGCGGGGCTTATCGGCGGGAGGCGGAGCTTCGTTTGGGGGCGGGGCCTGTGCCGGGGAGCCAATCAGTGCTCCCTCCGGCCACAGACAGCCCCCAGCAGCTCAGCACTGCATTCCCTCCCTCGGGCTGTAACAGGTTGTTACAGTCCGAGGGAATCCCATGGCCAGCAAGTTGCTGGCATTTGGGGGGGCCCAAGGGGGGGCACAGCATGATGTAGGGGGGCCATGGCCCCCTCTGGCCCCCCCCTAGCTGCACGCCCACTGCCCACACAGACACACACACAGCACCCCACAGTGACACACACAGCACCCCACAGACACACACACACAGCACCCCACAGACACACACACACAGCACCCCACAGACATACACACACAGCACCCCACAGACATACACAGCACCCTACAGACACACACACACAGCACCCCACAGACACACACACAGCACCCCACAGACACACACACAGCACCCCACAGACACACACACAGCACCCCACAGACACACACACAGCCCCCACAGACACACACACACAGCCCCCCAGACACACACGCACAGCCCCCCAGACAAACGCACAGCCCCCCAGACACACGCAGCGCACCCCACAGACACACACAGCGCACCCCACAGACACACACAGCTACCCAGAGACACACACAGCTACCCAGAGACACACACACAGCTACCCAGAGACACACACACAGCTACCCAGAGACACACACACAGCTACCCACAGACACACACACAGCACCCCACAGACACACACACAGCACCCCACAGACACACACAGCGCACCCCCAGACACCCACACAGCACCCCACAGACACACACAGCGCACCCCCATACACACACAGAGCACACCCAGACACACACAGGACCCTCACTCCCACACATATACAGCACATATATATTATATAAAATAACTCTCAGTGAGTTAACAGACAAATAAAATTAGAAACCCAGAATGTGACGGCAGATAAAAACACCCTCACACACAGCACTCCTTTTACACAAACACACTGCGCACCTCACACATACAATAAGTCCAAATATATTTTATATATATATATATATATATATATATATATATATATATATATATATATACACACACACACACTACAGCACCCCTCACACTGCACCAATACACACATTATGCTCCAGATACACACTAGATCCCTTACCCTATATGCACTCTTAATCCTCTACACACACACACACAATCTTCTATACACACTCTGGGTCCTTTACACACTAGATCTTACACACACACTGCACCACCTACACACACACTACATTCCTTGTAAGCAAACACATACAACATTATCTAAACACACCCTCTCTACACACCCCTGACACACACTACGTCACCTATACACACACACTACTGCCCGTATGCACACACTCGCTACATCCCCTATAACATTATGCCCCTATACACGCACTCTCTACAGCCCCTAGCCACACATATTACACCCCAAAATTGACCTATTTACACAATACCACACTACACTCTACACACAGGCAATCCCACAAGCATGCGCCAAACACATGCACCATACACTTTCCTGGCCCTTTTGTCCTCTGGTATCCCACTTGTGGAGACACCAGAGACAATTTAAAAGCAAACACAGCGCAAGCATGTTATTACATTTGCTTGCACTGCGCAGAACAAATACAGGGCCTTTTTCTAATGCTAGAGCTCTTCAGCGGGGCTCTGCGCATTGAACCAACATGCTCACTTTCAGAGGGGGTGTGCTTGTCATTAGTGATGACAAAACACACCCTCTCTGGCCCCGCCCCCTTCTTGGGGGGCCGCTCTAATAGAAAAATGCCCGGGCCTAATTTTTTTCCCAGTCCGGCCCTGATAAGAATATATACATATTTGTTTATATTGATTCTGAGCACATGTCTGTATTTCAGCTGATCTGCTTTCTAGAATGATCACTTGGTGGTCTACTGTCATTGCAACATATGTTTACCTCAATCTTGGCATTACGTCTGTGCATGGTATCAATTAAACCAGTTAGTTATATGATAAACCCAAGGGCAGATGTGTTCTATTGTTTCACAATACCAAAATCTTACAACACACTTGTCCTCTTCATAGAAGAGTAAAAATGCTATGTTCCATTGTATCCTTTGATGTTAACATATTGATATTTTTTTGGAGTGCATTCCCTAGGACACTGTTCCCAAGGATGTATTTTGGAAAACACTTTTAAAGGTGTTCTAAAACTGTTTACCAATAAAGGTATAAGCTAATGTTTATCAAACAAAATAACTGCCTTTAAATAATCCTTCATATGGGTAATTCCATATGAAATCAACCTCTGAAGAGGCATTTTTCAACCTCGCATTCTTTTTATTTATTTTTAAATAAACATACTGAAAGGGCCACCTTAGCCTATGCAAAGTTGCAGGTCCATATCTTGCAAAATTTGGACATTTTAAAGGAACACTATAGGGTCAGGAACACCAACATATATTCCTGAACCTATAGTGTTAAAACACCATCTAGCCCACCTGGTCCCCCCTTTTCCTCCCTAAATATAGTAAAATCTAACCTTTACTCCAGTCTACTGGTGCTGGCTCTGTCCTTGATCTGCCTCTTTGGCTGACATCGTCAGAAGTGTTGATCTGAGCCAATCACAATGCTTTCCCAAAGGAAAGCATTGGATTGGCTGGGCTTGTCAAGGAGGCAGATCAAGAACACATCCCTGGCCAATCAGCACATCCCTGGCCAATCAGCATCTCATCAGGCAGAGGGTGGAGTCACTGAATGGTAGTGCTGCACACTGTGGAAAACATCCTTTCCACTTCTCACATGATCCAACCAGGGTCGTGGATGAAGATTTTTAAATTTTGCCATAAAAGATCAAAAAGATCTTCTACACTTCCAGTTCAGGGCTCTGCCCTTCAGCCTTTCCTCTACACCAAGAGTGTTTACAAAGATTCTCATGGTCATCACTACCAAATTAAGAAAGAAATGCCTCAACATTGTTCCCTACTTTGATGACTGGCTTCTAAAAGCATCTTCAGAACTTCAACTTTTAACCTCTTAACTCCGGAGGGCGTACTATTACGCCCTGCAGGAGCTGGTTCTAAACGCCGGCGGCCGTAATAGTACGCCCTCGCTATAATAGCCGCCCATGTGGCCGGCGCTAATCGCCCGCTGCAGATCGTGGTCGGGGGGATGCCTGGACCCCCCAGGCAACCCCCCTTGTGGCCGGTGACCGCGATCTGCAGCCTCTGATCGCAGTGACAGGCTGTCACTGCGATCAGTATTTAACGTGTGTCAGACAATTTCAAATCGGCTGACACACGTGGCCAGCGACTACCCCTGTGCAGATCGCTGTTGGGGGACATACCTGGCCCCCCAGGCAGTCCCCCTGGGGTCAGTGACCGCGATCTGCACCTTCTGAGCGCAGTGACAGCCTGTCACTGCGATCAGTGTTACATGTGTCAGCCTAATGGCTGATACATGTAACAGGCACCATGATCCCCCTGCAGATCGGTAGGGGGAGTGCTTGTACCACCCAGGCACTCCCCCCTGTGGTCAAATAACCAATCTGCAGGAGGTGATCACAGTGACAGCCAGTCACTGTGATCACTATTACTATGTGACAGCCAATGACCTCAGGTCACTGGCTGACACTTTGTCTCTGCCCCTCTCCTCGCCTCACTTCGATCTGAGAGAGAGAGGCAGAGACATCGTTGGTTTTAGAGCTCCTGTGAAAAAAAAAGTTTTATTACTTTATAAAAGTTTTAAAAATATATTTTTTATTTAACCCTTTCAGTGCTGATCACAGCTTATTACTGTCATCAGCTGAATAGGGAATCTAGTACTTTTGTACTTTATTTTTTTTTTTAAATTCTTTATTTATAACAAGATTAGATACCACAGCAAAACAATCATTACAATGCAATAAGAAGATAAACATCACAAACAGTATTCGATATTAATCAAAATACAACATGATTAGTTGCCCTTACAACCAAATATGTTCACTGAGTATGACATATGTCCTCCAACCATGATTATCTGTCTACTGCAGCCTCCAATCGATTTTATATTAAATAATATACAGAATCCTGTCTGACTAAGTGGCAGCTCGTTTCTTCATTCCACCCTAACCTTTAATAAGTAGTAGGCGTCAAACCAAACTATCATATGCATATCTAACGTGTAAGGTCAACAATATTGTAGTACCATTTAACTAGCGATCCGCCAAAAAAGGCCCCACAGCCCGCCTCAACCCAAAAAGGCTCATGTTAGCTAAGTGGTCGCTGGACAGTAGCCAGTCAGGAAGTAAAAATAAGGGAAAAAGAAAAAGAGATAAAAGGAAGTGGAAAAAAAGAAGATTAACCGCATGGAAAGCACCATAAGAGTAGAAAATAAGAGGAGAATAGGAGAGGGAGGGAGTATGCTGGTGGTATTCCAAGAATTGGCAATAATGCTAGCTCGACCAGTCGGCTGTGCAGCCAAACCTGCAAAGCCTAAGGATGGACCTCCGAGCCCATGAGGAGAACTATAGACCGTAGGCGCCTCAGTGGGGACCAAAAGG